CAAAATGCTCATACACATGAAATAAAGTAAATAAATCTAAAATGATTTTTGGTTTTGATTTGGTTTGGTTTTTCAAAACAGGGTTCCTCTGTGTAGCCCTTGCTGTCCTAGAACTAGCTCTGTAGACCAGGCTGGCCCCAAATTCATCCACCTGCCTCTGCCTCCTGAGTGCTGGGATTAAAAGTTTTTGACACCACTGCCCAGGTTAAAAAGTATTTTTTTAAGAACAAAATAATGCTACGATGTCTACAACTCTCAAATGGTTCAGTGTAACATGTATGTAGATATGTGTACGGAGAGCATGCTTGTAAAAATAAGGCAAACATCCATACCAAACACTAACAAATGGGCCATCAGGATGGCTCAGTGAGTGAAGGCACTTACTGCCAAGTCTGACAGCCTGAGTTTGATCCTATATGGTGGAAAGAGAACTAACTCCCACATGTACCTCAATAAACACAATTCAATTTCTTTTAAGCTGTTAACAAGTAAAGCCCCAGTGAGATGCCTTGCAAGGGACCTGCCACCAAACAAGCCTGATGACCTGAGCTCAATCTCAGGGACCCACAGAGTGGAAGAAAAGAACTGACTCCCACAGCTTGTCCTGACCCCTACATGTACACCAAGACATAAATACACTCACAAATAATTAAATGTTAAAAAAAAATTAAGATGTTAACAAATGAGCTAGGTGTGGTGGCACCCACTATAAACCCAGCACCTGTCAGGTTAAGGAAGGAGGATCAGACATTCAAAGGCAGCCTAGGCTATAGGGTGAGAACCTTAGTTGGCTGGCTGGTTGGTTTTTAAAGAAATGGTCTTATTTATTTTTATTCCATGTACATTCATGTTTTGTCTGTATGTATGGCTGTGTGAAGGTGTGGAAATCCCATGAAACTGGAGTTATAGGCAGTGAGAGCTGGGAATTGAACCTGGGTCCTCTGGAAGAGCAGCCAGTGCTCTTAACCTCTGAGCCATCTCTCCAGCCCATTTGTTTGTTTGTTTGTTTGTTTTTAAACTGGGTACTGCAACTCACAACTGTAATCTCAGCATTGGAAGTGGGAGGCCAGATTGTGGTGTGGTTTTGTTTTTGAGATAGCCTCTCATGGTGTAACAGAGACTGACCTGGGACTTGCTATGCAGCTGGGGCTGCCCTTAACCTTGTGATCCTCCTACTGCTAATCCTAAATGCTAGGATTACAAACCTGGGCCCAAGTGAATTTTAAAGACTATGGAATCTATGCTATGGGTAGGCAGTTACTTAGTGTCCTTAAATAACTCATTAGTGGACTGAAGCTGTCTTACTATTTGAAATTTAACCTGTAAAGTGTGCTTAATGTGCTGAGTTAATTTAACAGAAGTAAACAACCACTGTGGAAAACAGAATTCTGAATAAACAGAACAAAATGATCTATTGACAGACTTTCCTTAAAAGCACACACAAACACCAAAAAAAGCAGAACAAACAAAAAAGTGAGCAGTGTCTATTAATTGCCACACACAACTTACGAACGAAATGACGAACATAATTGCTAAACTTTTCTATGCTTAAAACATGCCATCAATTCATGTTCTGAAAAACTAAATTTTGATACAAGAAAACTGAAAACTTCAAAGTCAATGAGCACTTTAACCTGTACCTTGCACTTCATAGATAGCCAACAAGCATAATCTTCCTAAGCTATTTCTGGGTTGTTACATGTCTTTTGCTTCTCTTTCTAAATCTCTATATTGCTAGCTGTGAAAGGAAAACAATCCTAATATACACTCATCCTTCTATTATACACTACAGAAGACAATGCCCATTTTTCCAACTCTGACTATATATTATATTACACTGAAGAAACCACAGGAGGCTGCGGAAATGGCTCAGCATTTAAGAGCTTGTATTGCTCCTGCAGAGGACCCAGGTTGGCATCCCAGTACCCACATCAGATGGCTGACAATCACCAATAACTCCAGTTCTAGAGGATATGATGCCCTCTTCTGGTGCCTCTAAGGGCACTGCACTCACATGCACAAACCCACAAAGATGAATACACATATAATAAAAAAAAAATTTTTTTTGTTTTTTCCAGACATGGTTTCTCTGTGTAGTATAGTTCTGGTTATTCTATAACTATGTAGACCAGGCTGCCCTCAAACTCAGAGATCTGCCTGCCTCTACCTCCTGAGTGCTAGGATTAAAGGCATTCTCTACCACTGCCAGGCATAAAAAAAATAATTTTTAAAGCCTTAAAAGGGTGGGGTAACTGTGAGTTGGAAATGTAGCTCAGTTAGTAGAATGCTTTCCTTGTTAGTGTTCAGGCATCTGTACTGGCCTGTCCTTAGGGTTCTAACAGGATATACCCTCAGCTACAGCCACTAAGAACACTACCTGTACATATTCACTGTGTTCCCTTTTAAAAGGGCCCTGCCTACCTCCCATCCTTTCTCTCTTTCTTTCCCTCCCTCTCTGTCTGTTTCCCCCTCCCCCATTCTTCTCTCTCTCCCTCTTTCCTTTTTATCCCTTTCCTTTCTCCTCTCAACTGCTGCCCCTGTCTCGGAAGCCAATCTCCTCCTTCCCTTTCCCCTATAAAAAACCCCTCTGCTTGAACCCTGTGCATGGCATCTTTCTCTCGTGCACCGCTTTTCTTAAATTACAACACTCCTAAGACGAATAAAACCCTGGCCCCATCCCCAGCACTGCATAAACAGGGTATGGTGTAATACACCAGTAAACTCAGCAATGGCAAAGTAAAAGCAGGAGGATCAGAAGCTCAAGGCCACCCTTGAATGGGTAGTAAGTTCAAGGTTAAGCTAAGCCTTGGGTACATGAGACCCTACTACAAGGGGTGGGGGGTGCTGGAAAACAAGAAAAGGACTGTCTGATGACTGGTAGGGAATATGCTAGATTTTGTTTTAAACAATTTGACAGAAAATGAGGGACAAAAAAAGAAAAAAAGAAACATTTTGAGGAACCACCATCATATAAATGAATGTATACCAAGAATGGGAACAGAAAGTGTCCCAAGAAGATGAAGCACTAAGATGCTCAATAACATTGAGACCAGCAAGGGAAGAGGAGTAACAAAAGAACTCCCAGCAGTAGGATGGAGAGGGAAATTCAGGGCCATGTCAGAGAGCTGAGCATTGCCAGGGTGTCTGACAATAGCTACTCAGATGGAGAAAGCTGAACCAGACAGCCTGAGCTACACAGTGAGACCCCCCCCATACAAATACTAATCTGATGTGGCAGCTTGAGAGGTGGAGACATAGAACTTAAGATCATCCTCTGCTGAATACCAAGATCAAAGCCTGTCTGAGCTACTTATGACTCTGTATTAAAAAGTCTGACAAACTGTAGTATATATTACAAGTGAACAGAAGGTAAAGAACAATGAATGATAACACAATTTAGAGCTGGGCGTCGGTGGCACACACCTTTAATCCCAGCACTGGGGGGGGGGGGGGGCAGAGGCAGAAGGATCTCTGTGAGTTCGAGGCCAGCCTGGTCTCCAGAGCGAGTGCCAGGATAGGCTCCAAAGATACACAGAGAAACCCTGTCTCAAACCACCCCCACAAAAAAAAAAAAAAACCCCACAATTTAGGTATGTCATCCAGGGATATATAAAGTCCACAGGTAGAATATATACACACACGTACATTTGCACATCAAAAAAGAAAAAAAAAACAAAAAAAAAGAAGAAAAAAAACAGTATGGAGAAAAAACTGTCAAGATGGCTTTGCTGGTGGGAGAGTAACTGCCTAGAATGCTCAGGATGCTACCATTCCAAACACCACTATATGATGATGGGCACGTGGCTTAGTGCTAAAGCACTTGCCTAGCACCCTAGTGTCCATCCCCAGCACCACAAAACAATTAACAGTACACTGGAAGGCAGAGGCAGGCGGATCTCTGTGGGCTACAAGAGCTAGTTCCAGGGCAGGCTCCACAGCCACCGAGGAACCCTGGCTCCCCTGTCTCAAGAGAAAAACAAAGAAAAGAAGAGAAAAGAAAAGAAAAGAAAATGAGGAGTTGTTGTTGTTGTAAAAAGCCAGAGAGTGGGCTGGAGAGATGGCTCAATGGTTAAGAGCACTGACTTTTTCCAGAGGTCCTGAGTTCAATTCCCAGCAACCACATGGTGGCTCACAACCAACCCTTATGAGATCTGGTGCGCTGATATACATGGAAGCAGAATGTTGTATACATAATAAAAAAAAAAAAAACTTAAAAAAAAAAAAAAAGCCTGAGAGTAAACCGATAGCAGAATTTTTGAACGGGTTCTGTTCAGGTTTCTGCCTTGAGTTCCTGCCCTGACTTCCCTCAATGATGAACTGTGTCCTGAAGTGTAAGATGTAATAAATAAACCCTGTCAGGCGGTAGTCGTGCACGCCTTTAATCCCAGCACTCAGGGAGGCAAAGGCAGATGGATCTCTGAGAGTTCGAAGCTAGCCTGGTCTACAGAGCGAGTGCCAAGACAGCCAGAGATACACAGAGAAACCCTGTCTCCAAAAAACCAAAAGATGTAATAAACTTCTACCCCGAAGTTCCTTGTTTGGTCATGGTGTTTTTCACACAACAGAAAGGAAACTAGCACACCTTTGTATGTTCACAGCCCTGGGTATCAGTATCACAAATAACGACGGTGGTAACGGCTAGGGTTGCAGCCTTTGCCTGGCATGTGAGAAGCCCTGGGTACCAACTCCAGCATTACAAAATGATGGAGATGATGATGGGGGGGGGGCAGACGACTGCGGAGCGCGTGCAAGGTCTTGAGTTTCATACCCAGAACCAGGAGGAAAAACAAACAAGCAAACAAAACTCATTGCTCCTACACTCCCCTCCCTCAAAGAACGTGGGTTGCGGGACCAGCAGGATCCCTCCCCAGCCGCCCCACCTCCAGATACTTCCGGCCCGTCCACTCCGCCCTCCCGCCCTGGTAGCGGGTGCGGAGGGTCGACCACCAGCCGTCTCCGGCCCCCAGATGAGTCGGGTTGCCCTCGGACATGCGGCTTACACTTCCATGTCGCAGCCGCTTCGTCCTGCGCAGCCGCTGGAAGGGAACGGCCTCCCGTCGTGCCACCGCCGCGGAGCTCTCGGCCTGCGTGTGCGCCGCAAGCCACTCTGGGACGCCGTGTTGCATGCCGGGATCGCTGTAGGGAACGCCGGGCTCCTTGCGTCGTACGGATTTCGAATTTCAGCCTCTGGAGGCAAAATTTAAACTTTTTTATGGTCTAGGTTTTGTTAGGGTTTTAATAAGATAAGGTTCCTGTCTTGGACGCTTTAAAAATCTCCAAGCCAGTCAGTTCGCAGCTGATATCTCAGCACTAGAGAGATTGAAGCAGGGGGATTGCCACGAGTTCCTGGCTAGCCTGTGCTACAGAGTGGGTTTCAAGCTATCTTGGGCTATTGCAGACCACTGTGTAAAAAAACAAAAAACAGGGCTGGAGAGATGGCTCAGAGGTTAAGAGCACCTTTGGCTGCTCTTCCAAAGGTCCTGAGTTCAATTCCCAGCAACCACATGGTGGCCCACAACCATCCGTTATGAGATCTGGTGCCCTCTTCTGATGTGCAGATATATATGGAAGCAGAATGTTGTATACATAATAAATAAATAAAATCTTGTTTAAAAAAAACGCACAGGCACACACACACATACCAATCAACCAACCAAAACCCCCAGAAGCCAGCCAGGCATGGTGGCGCACGCCTCTAATTCCAGCAAGGGAAAAAAGGGAAGGTAGAGGCTAGCACATTTTTGTGAGACAACCTAGGCCACACAAGAAACAGAGAGAAAGGGAGAGGGAGGGAGAGAGAAAGAGAGACACCTGGAGAGATGGCATAGCAGTTAAGAGTACTTCCATTTCTAGCAAAGGATCAGGAATTGATTCCCAGCACCAACGTGGTGGCTCACAACAACCTGTAACTCCAATTCCAGAGGATCCAAGGCCTTTTATATAGCCCCCGCCAGGCACACATGTGAAGTATATACATACACACAGACACTCACAGATACACATAAAATAAATCTTTGGCTGGGTGCTGGTGGCACATGCCTTAAATCCCAGCACTCAGGAGGCAGAGGCAGGTGGATCACTGTGAGTTCGAGGCCGGCCTGGTCTACAGAGCGAGTACCAGGATAGGCTCCAAAGCTACACAGAGAAACCTTGTCTCGAAAAACCAAAAAAATAAAATAAAACTTTGAAAAAAGAAGAAAGGGGGTTGGTGGCGCATGCCTTTAATCCCAGCACTCAGGAGGCAGAGGCAGGTGGATCTCTGTGAGTTCGAAGCCAGCCTGATCTCCAGAGGGAGTGCCAGGATAGGCTCCAAAGCTACACAGAGAAACCCTGTCTTGAAAAACCAAAAAGAAAAAAAAAAAAAGAAAGAAAGAAAGAAAAGAAAAAAGGTTGGACCTGCTGGCCCATATCTGCTATAATCCCAGCATTTGGGAGTTGGAGGCAAGAGGATTAGGGATTCAAGATCATCCTCCCAACAGCAAGTTCAAGGCCAGACTAGGATATAGTTTTGTTTTGTTTTTTGATCCGCCTGCCTCTGCCTCCCGAGTGCTGGGATTAAAGGCATGCACCACCATCGCCCGGCTAGGATATAGTTTTTTAAGGCCATCTTCAGGTATATAGGGAGTTTGAGGCCACCCTGGGCTATATGAGAAGCCTATCTCATAAAAAAATAACTGTATACATCTGTGTTCTTGTGCATGTGTGTATGTGCATGTGTAAAGCCAGACATGGTGGTACATGTCTATAATAATACAGGTAGCCAAGGAAAAAGAATGGTGAGTTCAAAGAGGCCACCCTAGGTCACATAGTGAAACCCTCTTTAAAAATAATTAAAAAATTAAAACAAAATGAAAAATCAAAAAGTAAACAAAACATCATCCATAATATACACTGAAGAGTGCCCTATCCTTGTCTTGAGCAGAATGAGCCTCTTAATGATGTTCAGTGTGCTATTTACCCAACAAGCTTAGAGTGATTGCCCATTGGGTACTGGTGATTCAAATACGAGTAATACACACACTCTGTCCAAACTAGCTGACAGCCTAGTTGGGGGACCAGTTCTGGACATAAATAACGATGACACACTGTGTTTAGACTCCGTAGTGTAGAGGAGGGGTTGACTAACAGGGCAGAGAGGCGTCCCCAAGCCAGAAGTGTTTGAGGTGAGTGGAAGAAGGAACAATCAAAATCAAGGCTTCAGAGATAGATCCTTCTGGAACACAGGCTAAGTACCTCTGAGAGCCACACCATAAAATGACTCAGAGATGAATTTGAGTAGGAGAATTGGGTTGCACCCATTTTGTAACTTTAACCTCGTTGACAGCTTTGCTTTTGTTTGAGCTTGGTTTGTTTGCTTGTTTTCAGACAAAGCCTTAAATAGTCCAGGCTGGTCTCAAACTGCCAAGGATGACCTTGAACTCTCTAACCTCCTATCTCTACCTCCCTAGGGCTGGATGAAAGGCATGCACCACCACACTTAGCTTATTAGGTGCTGGGAATGGAACCTGGGACTTTGTGCATTCTACCAACTGAGCTACATCAGCAGCACCTGAACTAATTATTGAATATTCTGTTGACCTTGGTAGGGTTGTTACCATTGTGATACATATGTTTTCGATCTTTGGAATACAAAATGTTTTATTCCTGCAAGAGGGAACATGGTGGTGTGGAATCAAGCAGACAAGTACACCCAGGGCTAGGGCACCCAGTGGGAGTCACACTGGGTGTTTATTTCTAACCCAGAGGGGCCCTGTGTCTTGCTCTAATTTGTGGCCAGAGCTTAGCCTCACAAATGGATGCAGTTGGTAAACAGAATGCAATTTCCCACAGAGAATGCAGCCTTGTGCAAATATTTTTATTACAAGAAGAGAAAACTGACTCTGGAGGAATTTTGATTTCTGCCATGGGACTCCTTTGCAGTTTTTTAAAAAATGAAGTTTTGTCTTATGTAACCCATTGATAGAAAAGGCAGTACCTTTTGCTTACACTTCCCACACCAAGCAGAATAATATCAATAACAATAGCCTCCATTCAATATTAACCTCTTAAAACCAAGTTCAGAGTAAGTGAGCTGGCTTGGCAGGTGAGTCAACAAAAACACAACTCTTTCCTCAAAGGGTCTAAGAGACATTTTATTCTGGAGCCAAGTGTGAGTGCCAACGGCCCATGAAAATATCAGGGTACCCAAAATTTCTATATTCTGATATGGTCCCAGTTAGATGAGATTTTTTTTTTATATGTTGACTATTAGTTTATTATAAGGCCCGGCAGAGTAGGGAGACTAAGAAGAGGAAAGGAACAGGGTAAATGGCTGACTGCCATGGCCAGTTGCCATAGAGAGGCAGAGCAAGCACATAGGTGAGAGAGAGAGTGGAGATGAGATTTTTTACAGTAACAGAGTAAAGAAAATCACAAATTAAAACATTCTTCACTTGCATTGGTGGAAACGTTAGGTAAGTAGGCTATAGAAAATCAGGAAAGTGTCTGCTTCAGTTAGTCCTCAGGTACTTCTGATGACATTCTTACATTTTGGTCAATGGAGGCTAGAGGTTTGTACATTCAAAAAAATGTGATAGTCACAAAGATATCAGGTCACATACAAGATAAGTTATAATTAGGCTTTGGATCTGCAACATTCCAACCTCTCCAGGATCTTCAGGTTCTGATAGACTGTAGTCAAACAGGTATGTCTTCCTTTATTCTATTAATTTTGTCCACAGATGCTTTCACATGTGGGTCCCAGGGATGAAATTCAAGTAGTCAGAACTGGCAGTAGGTAGCCTACGTGGATGAGCCGTCTTGCCTGTTTGCTGTTGTTTAGGGAGGAAATGGTTATTTTGGCCCATAGTTTTCAGAGGTTTACTTCCCTTGTAAGCTGATTCCATTGCAGTGGGGTCTAAAGTGAGGCGTAACATCATGGCCAGCAGCATTTGGCAGAACAAAGCAAGCTCATCTCATGGCAGATGGAAGCAAACAGCTCTTTCTGTTGTATCTTAAGTATGGAAGACTACACACATGAGTGTCATCCTTGTGCAGGGACCACACTAATCTACTCTGTATAATTCTAATTTTAGACTATGTAGGCCAAAGTGAGCATTGCTGTAGTGTGTGTGTGTGTGTGTGTGTGTGTGTGTGTGTGTGTGTGTGTGTGTAGGTCAGAGGACAACTTTCATGAGTCTTTTCTTGCCTCACAACTGGATTCTGGAGACAAAGCTTGGTCCTGAAGCTCGGCAGCACATGCCCTTCCTGTCTCACAGGCTTCCCCGTCCCTTTTCTCTGTGATATTGGCAATGCTTGGTAAGCACTTTCTCATCCCTGGCCTTTCCTTGTCAAATGTTTGTTTTCATTCCAAGGACTGGAAAGGCAGGTGATTGTCATGTGAGGTTCAGTAGCAATCCTGTCAACCAGTTGTTCATTAATGTGATCCCTCTGGTAATTAGCCTCTGACTAGCCAACTCTTAGAGAGCTTCCCAGGCAGATGTTTATTCTGAGATACTAGATTTGGCTCCTGGCTCTCAAGCTTCCTGTCTCGATGTCTTTAGGCAAATCACTCAGTCTACCCTATACTGTCCTTTCCTTACCTGGAGCACCATGGTGATTATCAGGGTTGCCATCTAGGAGTACTTGTGAGGTTTTAAATATAAAATATTTAACACAGTGTCTACAATACTGTTAGAACTCAAGCTATTGCCAGGAGTGCTGGCATACACATGCCACTCCAGCCCTTAGAAGGGTGAAGCAGGAGAACGTCCAATTTCTGGCCAGCCTGGGCTACACAGTGAATTTAAGTCTAGTGACATAGAGAGATCCTGCCTCACAACACACAACAAAGTAAACAAAGGAGATACAATTATTGTTATTTTGTTTATTAATATAGAGTTAATGCCTCCACTTAACTCCCCTAAATGTCTTTCACCCATTTTGTTGATTTGAGGCAGTGTCTCATGTAGCCTAGTCCCACCTTGAACTCACCACGTAGCCGAGGATGACCTGGAATTCCTGACTCTGCCTTCACCTCCTGAGGGCTGGGATTCCAGGCACCAGCCCACTCTGCTAGTTTGAAGAAGTACTGGGGATCAAACCCAGAGTTCTGTGTGTGCTAAGCAAGCGATCTGCCAACTGAACTGTGTATCCAGCCTTCTCCTAAAGTTTTTTGAACTTTGTGTTTTGGGAAAGACCCAGAGCTTGAGGTTTCCTAGGGTGATGCTTACAGGGTGAGGAAGAATTCAGATTCTCTCCTTTTCCTCTAGATCTGAAAGGACGCCACCCTGAGCCACGCCCCGAGCTCCTCATTGGGGAATTCTCAGCAGGCACTTTAATACTGAACGAACCTCCAAATCCTTACCAGGTGATTCTAGGCAAGTGTTCACCACTGAACTTTGCCCCAGCTCCTCATTTCGTAGATTCTAGGCAAGTGCTCTACTTCTGAGCCATGCCTGAGTTCTTTCACATTTACTGAAATCTATGTTGTCAATGAACTTGAAAACTTGATCACATCACAAGGCATAAATGTTTGATTAAATTCTTACCATGCCTTTAATCCCAGCACTCGGGAGGCAGAGGCAGGGGGATCTCTGTGAGTTCGAGACCAGCCTGGTCTACAAGAGCTAGTTCCAGGACAGCCTCCCAAGACACAGAGAAACCCTGTCTCAAAAAAACCAAAAAAAAATTATGTATTTACTTATTGTGTGTGTGTGTGTGTGTGTGTGTGCGCGCGCGCGCGCACACACACAAATACCACCCCTCTCCCCCTCCACCCCACCCCGGGTTAAAGGACAATTTGGTGGTGTCATTATTCTCTCCTTCCACCATGTAGGTCCCTGGGCTCAAACTCAGACCCTGACTATAAGCACCTTATACCTGATGAGGCATCTCACTGGACCCATCTTTTCTTTAAATATTGATTTATTTGGGGTATGAGAGGTGGGTGAGTATGTGCTCCATGTGCCACAGAGCATGTGTGGAGATTGGAGGACAATCCTCTGGAGTCAGTGCTTGCTTCTCTTACATTTGTCAAGGTTCCAAGTGCTCCAGACTAACTGGCCCCTAAGCTCCCAGACAACTCTCCAGTCTTCTCTCCCATCTTGAGTAGAAGTGCTGAGATTACAGATGGGCCTCACAGCTGACCATCTACATGAGTTCCAGGACAAAACTCAGGTTGCCAACCTTTTGTGCGTGGCTAGCTCGTTTACTTGCTGAGCTGTCTCTCTAGGTCAGTGGTTCTCAACCTGTAGGTCTTGACCCCTTTGGGGGTCGAATGATTCTTTCACAGGAGTTGCCAAGACCATCAGAAAACACGGATATTTATATTTCAATTCATAGCAGTAGCAAAAAAAAAGTTATGAAGTAGCAACAAAAATAATGTTATGGTTGGGGGTCACCACAACATGAGGAACTGTATTAAAGGGCTGCAGCGTTAGGAAGGCTGAGAACCACAAGAGTCTAGGAATATCAAACTCTTGATATCCCTGCCTCTGTTTCCCAAGTGCTGAGGTCACAGGTACGTGCCAGCACAGGTAACCTAGCATTTAGCAGTTATCTTTCCATACCCTGACTGCTGGCCTTTTGTTTTATTTTGTTTTTATTTGGAGATAGGGTCTCGTGTGACCCAAGTTGCCCTTGAGCTGGCTTATGCAGCTCAGGATGACCTCGAAATTCTGATCCTCCTGCCTCCATCCCCAATGCTGAGATTACAGACCTGCACCAGTAATCACAACCTGCACACAAAGCTATATCTGATTTATCATGTGCCCTATCCCATGGCCCCTGCTTTGAGATAGGGCCTCAATGTAGTATAGTCCTGGTTGGCCTGGACCTCACTCTGTAGACCGTGCTGGCCTTGAACTGACAGGGATGCTCCTGTCTCTTCCTCCCAAGTGCTGTACTAAAAGCATGTGCCACATGGCACGGTCGTTGTGACAATTTTTTGTTTTTGAAACAGGTTCATTTGCAGCCCAGGCCTGGAACTCCCAGCGATCTTCCTGCCTCAGACTCACGGGTGCTGCTGGGATGACATTCCTATCACCTGTCTTCACTCTAGCACCGGTCTTACCTTGTCTGAACCTCCAAAGTCTAACTCGCTGAAACCCCTGTAGGTCCTCCCGAGGGCTAGTAGATCAGCCAGAGGCGGTCCTGCCCACAGGCGTCACACCCACCTCTCCCCATTGGCTCTACGCTGCCAGGAGGCGGGGACAAGGCAGAGGGGCCGCAGACGCCATCCCGGCCACCAGAGACCAGAAGGTACCAGTCCACAGAATCTGTTCCACCAGGTCCGGAGAGAGTGGGACAGAGGGACAAACACGAAGGAACACCGAGGACTGTGGCGCGCTTGCTTAGTGCTGCCCAAGTCCCGCAAGCCGAACGCGTGCCCCCAACTCTGAGCAGTCTCTGCTCTGCAGACCTCCAGAGCCGAGGTGGTCAGTCTGATCTTGTTTTCCAGATCCGTAAGACCGAAGCTCCAGGAGAAGGAGGAACCGCCCAACATGGCATCGGAGGTGTGTAGGACTTCGGGGACCTTGCAAACGAGTGGGGAGGAGCTACTTGGGTTGACCCGTGCTTGCGGCCACCTCCCGCCAGACAGACCTGCAGAGATACAAAAATCCCCGACCACACGTCCAAAGCCCAGCTTGAGGTAGACTCAGGGATGTCCCCATCGTCATCTGCTCATCGAGCGCCGCCAAGTGGCTCAGGTGGTGATCTCACTAATGACAGGGTTGGCCACCATGCGTGGCTGTTTCCCCACCACCACCCTTTCTTTGTTTGGTTTTATTTTGTATTTATTTATTTATTTATTTATTTATTTATTTATTTATTTATTGAGGTATTTATTTATTGAGGCAGGGTTTCCCTGTATAGTCCTGGCAATCCTTGAACTCGCTCTGTAGACCAACCTGGCCTCGAACTCAGAGATCCACCTGCCTCTGTCCCAGGGCTGGAATTAAAGTCCTGCACCACCATGCCCAGCATTGTTTTCCCTTTTTAACAAAATAATTTTTAAATTATGTGTATGGATTTTTTTTTTTTTGCCTGCATGTATTTTGTGCACCACGTGGGTAGCTGCTGCCTATGGAGATCAAAAGAGGGTGTAGGATCAACAGGAACTGGAGTTACAGATGGTTGTGAGCCACCATGTGGGTGCTAAGAACAAAACCTGAGTCCTCTGGAAGAGAAGCCATCATTCCAGCCCCTGTTTTTCCTTCTTTGAAGCAGCTCACTTCAGCCCAGGCTAGACTGGCCAACTCATTGTCGGCCCAGACTGGCCTCAAATTTCTGACAATTCTCCTGCCCCCATCCACTGGAATTCAGATTCCAGGTGTGAGCTACCACATCAAAACTTTCTGTTTTACTTTTCCCTAACATTATTTATTTATTCTGGGTGTGAGCTACCACATCAATATTTCTGTTTACTTTTTTCTTTTAACATTTTTATTTGTTCATTTTGTTGATCTGTTTTAGGAGTATGTACACGTTCGGGCATTGCACACATGTGGAGATCAGAGAACAACTTGTGGGAGTAGATTCTCTTTCCAGCAGGCTTGGCTGCAAGGGCCTTTACCTAATGAGCTGCCTCAGCTTTCTCAGACCCTGCTTTTCACTCCCAAATCCTCTTGTTAGTACCTACACTTTAAGGTAACACCTGTGCCATGCCCTTATCTTCATGTATAGGAAATGTTGAGTCCCTAAATTTTTTCGGGGGGTGGGGGTTCGAGACAGGGTTTCTCTGTGGCTTTGGAGGCTGTCCTGGAACTAGCTCTTGTAGACCAGGTCTTGAACTCACAGAGATCCGCCTGCCTCTGCCTCCCAACTAAAGGTGTGTGCCACTACCACCCAGCAAGTCCTTAAATTGTACTTGAGTTTTGTCATATACAAAGAGCTAGAAGGTAAGGACCTCTCTCTGTGGCCCCAGTGCCCCCCCTGGGATATCCCTGCCCTCTCCCTTGGTCCAGGAATTCCTGGCTTCTCTTCCTATTTAGTGACAGGTGTGCAAGACAGGTCCCATCCGCAGACTTGATTTATGTAATAAATGGAATGATGACAGCTATTGGACTCTGCCTATAAGGGATAGATACGGAGTTACCACTTTGAACTCTTAGAGGAAAGGGGCTTGTAGCAAAGCAGATGCCTGAGTGTCTAGTCCCTCTGATCCTCATTAGCTGGGGAGTCATTCCCTTTCTCTCAGCCCATCTGAACAAATGAAGATGTCCTGATGTACTTAGCTGCCAGGTCATGTAGAGGTCAGGAACAAGGCCTCGACTTTGGAGCCAAACAGATGTAATTTGTACACCAAGGTCAGCCTTGACCTATTAGTTCCTTGTGAAATAGGGGTAATGGTGTCCACTTCATAAAAGGATGAAGTTGCAGGCCAGGCAGTGGTGGTTCAGGCTGTTAGTCCCAGCACTCGGGAGGCAGAGACAGGCGGATCTCTGTGAGTTTGAGGCCAGTCTGGTCTACAGAGCTAGTTCCAGGACAGGTACAGAGAAACCCTGTCTCAAAAAACAAACAAAAGGATGCAGTTGCAATGCCAGGTGTATCAGTGCACACCTTTAAACCCAACACTTGGAAGGTAGAGGCAGGCAGATCTCTGAGTTCGAGGCCAGCCTAGTCTACAAGGGAGTTCCAGGACAGCCAGGACTACACAGAGAAACCCTGTCTCAAAACAAAAAACAAACAAACAAACAAAAAAAGCTATTAATCCTCCTGCCTCTATCCCCCTAATGCTGGGGTTATAAGTGAGTACCACTGTGCCCAGCTCACAGTAACCACTCTGGTACTTCTCTTATGCATTTTGAATTGGATTTTTCTCATTCTACTTAGCTTAACTCTGTGCCCCTTTCCCCTTGTCCCAGACTCCTAGCTGGAGCAATGCCTCCCCCCCCCCCACCCACTGCATTGGTCCTTGCCCATTTACCGAGCAGATGGAGGCACCTCACTTTGACCTCCCAAGGTCATTTCAAATGTTTTCCAGAGCCAAATGTGGTGGCTTACACTTGTACACCAGGCTTTTTTTTTAGGCCAGCTTCAACTTTGTAATGAGTTCTAGGTCAGCCTCAACTACATGGCATGACCCTATCTCCACAAGCCAAGAACATGGCCGGGGTTGTGGCTCAGTGATAGATGATAGACCACCTGCTTAGAATTCCCCAGTAAGGGGCTGGGTATGACTCAGTGGTACAACACCTGTGTTTCACACACACACACACACACACACACACACACACACACACACGCACACACACAGGTTCAATCCCCAAAATGGGAGGGGGACAAGGGAAGTGTGTGCCTGGAAGCCTGCTGGTGGTTATTGGAGCTCAGTTTACTCTCCAAACACAGTGGTCTGGACTGCAGGTGACCTCAGCTTGCCTTAGGCTGTTCTGTGGGTTGATGCTAATTGTTCTGGCTACTGTCTTGTTAAGTAGTTGTTATTACCAACAAACCAGGCACAGAGGCCAGAAATGTGGAAAGGAAGGCAGCAGCAGGATCCCTCCTGGGCCTTCCCACAACAGGCTCCTGACTCAATTCCGATCTTGATCTCGCCAGCCCTGACCCCAAGCCCCAGGGGCCTGCAGGGCACTTTGAAGTAGATCTGGCTTTTGTTGGGGCAGCTAAGAGTCAGTGCGGAACCTCTCACAAAGCTGAGGGTGATGGTGGAGGCTGCCTCTATGGGTCAGAGTCCTTTGACAGTAAGACAGTTAGCACTGAGGTCAGCTCACAGCCTGGAGACAGAGAACAGTGGATGCTCCCATGGTACACATAGCACCAGACCCAGGGATTGGCAGGGAGGTAGCTCCACGGGTAAAGCTTAAGGGCCTGAGTCTGGGTCCCAGTGCTGAAGAAGTTGAAACTGTTGACCAGGTAAATCCATGAGTTCAGGATCAGTGAGAGATCCTGTCTCTTAAAAATGTGACGGTACACTTTAATCCCAGCACTTGGGAGGTAGAGGTTGCCAATCTCTATGAATTCCAGGCCAGCTTGATTTCTATAGTGAGTTTCAAGCTAGCCAGGGCTCCAAGTGAGGCCCTGTCTCAAAAGCAATCAATAGTAGTAATAAATGATAAAAAAGAGAGCAATGAGGAAGACACATTGACCTCTGACATTTGCACACACACATGAATGTGTACATACAAAACAGAGAAAGAGGGGGAAGTGTAGGGGAAGCTGTAGCCACGCCTTCTTAGGGGCTGGCTACAGGAGTACCTGGGCAGGCTTGTGAGGGCGTGGTGAGAGTGAGTAGGGGGGTCTGTGTTTCGGTTTCGGTCTCGGTCTCTCTTTGCTTCTTGCTGTACAGACTACCACCGGCTGGCTGGTTCGCTCTGTAAGTAAGGCTTTTCCCTATTAAATACCCTTATATTTTTACCTGACTCTGTATTGGTAATTTCCTACTATAGGGAAGTGTTATTCTTTTGTTTAAAAAGAAGAAAAGAGAAATACTGAGACATGAGACATAAGACATGTTTATTATATGGCCCGGCAGAGTAGGGAGACTAAGAGAAGAGGAACAGGGGTCAGTTCTGAGTTCTGGGGCAGAAGTGGTATGTCCCCAGTGACGCTTGTAGACACCTACCCCCACACACAGAAAGATCGACATGCCATGTCCCTTGACATTGTTCTCACCACACTCTCCTTCGAGTCCTGGGCACTCTGCTTCCTGTATATTCTCTGTCCCATCCTACCAACTGTCCACATCCTGGCCTGTGCCCTCCTCTGTCCAAGCAGGGGCCTCTCTGGCCTATTCTTCTGCCCTTTGGTGCCTGGGGTTGGGAGATCAGCTAATGTCTTTTTAGAAAAACAATGATACAAAAACAGGGGCTGGAATATGGCATATAGACATATATCAGGCAAAATACTCATATACATAGATGAAATAAAAAAATCAAAAAATAAATAAGATAAAAGAGGACTGTTAATATATAGCTCAAGAACAATGCTTGTCTGACAGGCAAGAGTCCCTAGGTTTAATCTCCAGTATTAATATATTAATATATGTGTGTATATACACATATGTATATACACATATATTTGTATATATTCATATACAACATATAAATTTACATACACATCATAGAATAAATACATACTATGTTATCTCTCATTTAAAAATATTCTGGCCGGGCGGTGGTGGCACACGCCTTTAATCCCAGCACTCGGGAGGCAGAGACAGGTGGATCTCTGTGAGTTCGAGATCAGCCTGGTCTACAAGAGCTAGTTCCAGGACAGCCTCCAAAGCCACAGGGAAACCCTGTCTCAAAAAAACAACAACAACAAAAATTCTGTTGTGATCCCACGAAAGCTGCCATCTCCCTGGTCCATGCCATGTGTTGAGAAAGAGCACTGACTTCTGTGTCTGCCATATTCCCTGGTACACTCACCCAGTTCCTGACCCTCTGAATTTCAGTTGTCCTATCTATCCAGTGAGAATAATGTCTAATGCCTACCCCATGTCTTTCTGGGTAACTCTCCTGAGGGTCCCTTTTGAGAGTATGTTCTGTTCTTTCCTCTTGTCCAGAGTGGGAAGCTATGGGGTGGCCGCTTTGTGGGTGCTGTTGACCCTATCATGGAGAAGTTCAACTCCTCCATCTCCTATGACCGGCATCTGTGGAACGTGGATGTGCAGGGGAGCAAGGCCTACAGCAGGGGCCTGGAAAAGGCAGGACTTCTCACCAAAGCTGAGATGCAGCAGATACTGCAAGGCCTGGACAAGGTAGCCTCCGTGTCCCCAGTCGCCCCTTCATCCATTCCCCTGGGAACCTAGGCTCCTACCTAAAATCCCTAAGCACTACATTCACCTTTATTCCCTCCTTTATTCTGATGCTGGAGATAGAACCTAGAGCTGTGGTGCATGCTGGGTAAATGCTCTACTGTTGAGCCACGCCCCCAGCCCCTCACTGGGAGATTCTAGACAAGTGTTTTACCACTGAGCCATATACCAGCTCTTATATCCTGGGGCACAAGCTCTAGTATTCCAGATTTGTTATTTGACCTTTTGGTAAGTAGATGACTAGAGAGGTGCTATAATTACCCGCTCTATCTTTTAATGGTTCCTTGTGGCTCAAGACCAAGGTGGACTGTTCTGAGATCATCCATTAGGGATGGGAAATATTCTATGGCTCAGCTTCCAGACAAGGGCATTTAACCATGTTGGATCTAAGACCAAGGCAGGGAGACTCCTGGCTCCTGATGCCTATCAACCTGATATCCTGGGTTGCTGCCACCTGCTTCAGGTAGCTGACGAGTGGGCCCAGGGCACCTTCAAACTACACCCTAATGATGAAGACATCCACACAGCTAATGAACGGCGTTTGAAGGTTTGAACCCCTCCTAACAATCGGTCTCTCTTTTTCACCATACTCTGGGCACTAACCATCACTGGCAGAGTAGAAATGGCAAGATACTTGGGCAAGACCGGGTCCCTGATACAGGGAGGGAAAACCATAGAGCTTGCTAGGATCACTACCTAGATTCAAGTGTCCCCGCTGGTGGCAGGGAGCTCTAGCCTAACCCTCATGCCTTTTCACCCCTAGGAGCTCATTGGTGAAACTGCAGGAAAGCTACATACAGGACGAAGTCGCAACGACCAGGTGTCACCAGCCCTCTCTACCCTCTGCTATGAACTTTTCAACCTTGGGAACCCAGGAGGCTCTTGGAGCTCTGCTGCAGTCACGGTTCTCCAGGGACACAACAAGCTCCACTTCCTGAGTGAGCCTTCTCTTCTCCACAGGTGGTCACAGACCTCAGGCTGTGGATGAGGCAGACATGCTCAAAACTCTCCACCCTTCTCTGGGCACTCATTGGAAGCATGGTTGACCGGGCTGAGGCGTAAGTCTTCTCGGGGACACTGCCACAAGAATTTTCTCCCTGGAGCGATCTAAGCAGGGAATGAATGTTGATAACCCTAAACCAGCCATGCTGGGAGTATGTACCCAGCATGAATGATGGTTCCACCATGGCTGCATAGAAGATGGAGTTCTAGTCTTCCTTCCCCAGTCTTCCCTAGCCTATATGCTCTAGCTCTTCCAGGGACCAGATGCCAGACCATGTACAATTAGGGAAGAATTGCATGTAAAGACCCAAGAGAATAGCAGAATACTCAAGTGAAGGACCAAAGAAGCTCTGGGTCCTCCCCAGAGGAAGAGAACCTCAACAGTCCACAGACTGTTTTAGATTTGTTTTATATATATGAGTGTTTTGACTGAGTGTATATATGTGCTCCACCTGCATGCCTGATGCCTGTGGAGGTCAGAAGGGGACATTAGTCCCCTGGTACTCAAGCTGTGAATAGCTATGAGCCACCATGTAGGGACTGGACCAGGTCTTTCTGTGAGAACAAGTGGTCTTAACCAATAAGCCATCTCCCCAGTACCATAAGCCCAATTGTGATAGTCTCAACTACTCTCATGAAGATGGAAGCAGTTTGACTCAGAGGATTAATCCTTGACCCTTAAAACAGACTCTAGGAGTCCCAGAGGGCCACCAGGCTCTGTTCTTCTCTGAGTGCAAGACCTAGAAGGCAGGGGTGAAGAGAGTTGAAGAATGAGGTCCTGAGGTATTAGGTGGACTTACAGCTCCAAAAATACAGAGTAGTAAGTAGTGCGGCATATCTTTTTTGGTTTTGGTTCCGTTTTTGGTTTTTGACACAGGGTAGCACTGGCTATCCTGGAACTCTCTTTGTAGACCAGGCTAGACTAGAAGTCAGAGATTCACCTGCCTCTGCCTCAAAAATGCTGGAATTAAAGTCATGCACTACCACCACTTGGCTATGAGCCGACCATATCTTAATAGCTCCTACCCAGACCAGCCTAGATCAGAGGGCAGTGATCCGTCAGTCATTCTTAAGGATCTTTGGAGACAAAACTCCAGGTGCCCAAAGAAAGTTCCTGACTGAGCCTGCATCGTGCAATCACCCTTCAGTCCGTATTTTACCTTCTTACCCCACATCCCACCCTAACGTGGAATGCAAACAACAGAGCCAATGGCTGCCTCCTGCCAGCCTTATCCCATGCTTCCATGTTCTAATGTCCCTGGGACTGGCTTTGTCCCCTAAAGACTTGATAAAGGAGCCCCTGAAAAATTTTAGAGGGTATCAGAATTCAGGATGACCCCTCCTTTTTCCTGACTCCGTGTCCCTTGTTCATAGGCCTCAACTAATTGTGACTACAAGGACATAGGGGTAGGATGTTGGGAAGAATAGGATAGCAAGGGCAAATTAATATAAGGGTTTTTTTTTTTTTTAATGGCATGATGACAGTATTCTGAAATTGAACATGGTGATGGTTATACACTAAGGGTAGTCTGGGACTTGCTTATGTAGCTCAGGCTAGCTTCAAATGTAATCTCCTCCTTTCCTTCGTGTCCTCGACTTTCCTCCCCTCCCCCCCCCTTAGACAGCCCAGGCTATCCTCAAATCCACTATGTAACTAAAGTTAACCTTGAACTACAGGTCCTCCTTCTTTGGCCTCCCAAATACTAGGGTTACAGGTGTGCATCACCACACCCAGAGCTGGGCTTTGTTTTTCAGACGGGGTCTCATCTGTGACCCAAGCTGCATGGGACTCACTATATAGCCAAGGCTGGTCTCAGTCTTAGGGCATTCCTCTGCCTCAACTTCCTGAGCCCTGGGGCTGCAGATTTGCACCTCTTTGCCCTTCCTGGCTTAGTCTTTGATCTTACTGATTTGCTTCTGGCCTCTTTTCTCTAAAGACCCGTTTTATCCTCTGGTAAGCATCTGGTCCCTTGTTCAGGCAGAGCTGCATAGGTCTGTTTTCACCTTCCATGAGAAGAGCCTAGCCTAGCCTTCTTGACCCAACCCCTCAGATCTCCTGCTTTTCCTATTACAGGGAACGTGATGTCCTCTTCCCAGGGTACACACACCTGCAAAGGGCTCAGCCTATCCGCTGGAGTCACTGGATCCTGAGGTGAGCCGTGTGGAGCAGGGACAGTAGGAAGGGGTCTTGATGGAAGGGGAGGCTCCTTGGTGTCTTTTTGCCTACCAAAACCCATGAGTTTCTGGTTTCCCACAGCCACGCTGTTGCGCTGACACGAGATTCAGAGAGGCTGCTGGAGGTGCAGAAGAGAATCAATGTCCTGCCACTGGGGAGGTAAGGCAGTCCTCAGTGTCCCCAAGGCCTGATGGAAGGTGAGGGTGCATCGCAGAGTATGGCAGCATATAGAATATAGGGTCAGCATGGCTAAAGAAAGCTTGGGGATTAAAGGGCGGGGCTTGTGAGCCCTGCTGCTTCCTCAGAGTCTATATACAGACAGTTGTTGCTGAGGAGGGATATTTCTTCAGTAGTTAAGACTCACACATGAGCCTGTAAGCAATTTCAGTGAGACTCATTGAGTCACGGGAAAAGACATGAAGGTACAAGGAGCTGGAAGAAGGGATCAGCAGGATAGGAGAACAAAAGAGGGTAATTGAGGAGTGACTATAATTAACATACATTCTACACCTGTATAAAATGTCATAATGAAATCAGGTATGTATTATATACATGTTAATTAAAAACTCTAAGGTGGGCTGGAAAGATGGCTCACTGGTTAAGAGCACTTGCTGCTCTGTTGGAGGAAGCCGGTTCAGTTCCCAGCACCCAAATTTGTCGGCTCATAACCCACCTATAACTCCAGCTCCAGGGAATCCAGTGCCGTCTTCTGGCCTCCATGGGCACCTTCACACATGTGACCAACATTCCCACATGCGCATATATGTACACATTAATAAAAATAATAAAAACAAAATCGTAAAGGCTAGAGAGATTGTTAAGAGCACTGCCTGCTCTAACAGAAGACCCAGGTTCAGTTCCCCATGTCTGGAGCCTTAAGGTGGCCAGGCCAGAAAAGGCTGAGTAACTAAGACTTGATTCTGAGTGTTGCATGTGTGCAGTACCCAAACCTCAGTCACTATGAACCCTTGTCTCTACAGCGGGGCCATTGCAGGCAACCCTCTGGGTGTGGACCGGGAGCTACTCCGAGCAGGTGAAGTACACCCTGTTCATCCTTGTCTGGAGACTGTCACTCTTAGCACCTGCTGAGTCCCAAAGACACATGAGGTGACATGTGGGAAAAATGGAGGTCCTTGTGCTCATGGATAAGCACTAGGGGAGCCACGAATGTCAAACACAGGGTTGTAGGTTCAACATCACTTAGTAACCAGTGTTGGTTCAAACTTTGGTAGTCTGACACCAAGTGTTCTATTTTAGGCATATTTAAGTACAGCACAATTTGATGAAATTCTTTCTGGTGATAATTAATTCAATCCCACGTGCACAGTAAAACTTAAGACACGACTATTTTGAAACTCTTTGAAAAGTACACGTGACACCTTCCATAAAGACAGGTTCCATAGATTGACAAGCTCACAATAAGGGTCCAGAGGAGGATCTGGTGTGGTCTGAGCCACACAGACAGTGCAAAGGTCTCCAGGCTATTAACTTTTTCTGCTCCCAGACTTCTGGGTGGAAAACAGGTTAGACAGCCCTCCTTTTGAAGTGACAACCCCGTATAGTTAACATTCCTGGTTCCCCTAGTGCTTATCTGTGAGTGCAAAGACTTCCGTGCCTCCCACAATGAGAGGGCAGAGGCCCTCATATCTTGCCTATGGGTATTGAGATTAATGGGGTTGCCTATGGCAGGGGTACATATTGCTGGGACTACTTAGACTTCCATCCACCCTCCTGAGGTGTGTACAGAGGCCCCCTTCCCCACCTCATACTCCTCCTCAATTCTCATTTCCAATAAGGGGTCAAGGATGAGCCTGGGAATCCTGGTTCAGGGTAGAGAAGAGCACTTCTCACTTTCCAGTCTGACCATTTTTCCTCCCTCATATCCAGAACTGAACTTTGGGGCCATCACACTCAACAGCATGGATGCCACCAGTGAAAGAGACTTCGTGGGTAAGATATAGGAGTCCAGGGCTGGGGATGTACATCAGTAAGTGGGCTTCTTGCTTAGTGTGCAGGAAGCTCTTGGTTTGATCCCCAGCACTGCATGAAGTGGGCATATTGGTTTACACCCACAGTCACAGCACTCGGGAAGCAGAGGCAGAAAAACCATTCATTGAAGGACATACTCTGCTAGTTAGAAGCCAGCCTGAGCTATCTAAGACCCTGTTTCAAATAAACAAAAACCTAAAAAATCCACCACCAACAATAAGGACAGCAAGATTACTCAACCTTTGCATACTACCAAGCTTTGATGGCCTGAGTTTGATGCCCTGAACCCATGCGGTGGAAGGAGAGATCTGATCTCTTCGAGTGAATAGGCAGAGGGTAAATTAAAAGAAAAGGCCTGCTGTCCCTTCCAGCGGAGTTCCTGTTTTGGGCTTCTCTGTGTATGACCCACCTCAGCAGGATGGCAGAGGACCTTATACTCTATGGCACCAAGGAATTCAACTTTGTGCAGCTCTCGGATGCCTACAGGTAAGGCCCGTATCTCAGTACCAACTGGAATGGCTTCCTCCCACCCCAGTCCACCCCAGCCTTTGCAAGACCTGCCCAGTGCCTCTGCCAGCATGCCAGCCAGGCTTAAGCAGCACCTCAGCAGTAACACCTCTGTCCCCAGCACTGGAAGCAGCTTGATGCCCCAGAAGAAAAACCCAGACAGCCTGGAGTTGATCCGGAGCAAGGCGGGCCGAGTATTTGGGCGGGTGAGCTGGCAAGGCCTCCAGGCAACCCAGTGGGTCCTCAGGGGACTTCATGACTGGCTCTGGTGCCCCAGATCCTCAGCTTCATTCTTCCTACAGTGTGCTGGGCTCCTGATGACTCTCAAAGGACTTCCAAGCACCTACAACAAGGACTTACAGGTATAAGGCTGGGGAAGTAATGAGGGATCCCCCGGTTACACCACATACTACTTCTCAGAGCTCTGATATACCCAGACAGAAACCCCTAAAATGACTCCTGACCTGGGCACACAGTCCGTGACTACCCTCAGAACTACCCTGCTGCTCCTTGGGGTAGCAGGGAGAGGTGCTAAGTGTACCCAGTGGAACAAGGGAAGAGGTCTGGGTGAAGGGCGGGGCTGCCGGCCCCTCACCTGACACATGCCACCCAGGAAGACAAGGAAGCTGTGTTTGAAGTATCTGACACCATGACTGCTGTCCTCCAAGTGGCCACTGGAGTCATCTCGACGCTGCAGGCAAGACTAGGTCTCCCCATGTCACCTCCCTTCCCCTCTCTAGCCCTTGATCAGTGGGAATGCCAGACAGTGATTTGCAGGCGGAGAGATAAGGCCAGAAGACCTGGGAGGGGGAGCGCAAGGCACCAAAACCTGGTACAGAAAAATAGGGATTGGCTAGACACCAAAGTCCCAAGTTTTGGCCAGAATAGGATATCATTATTATTATTATTATTATTATTATTATTATTATTATTATTATTATTATTATTATTTTGAGATAGGATCTTACTATGTAGCGCAGGCTTGCCTCAAACATGAGGCCTGGTATTATAGGCATTATATATTATAGTATTACAGTTATGCCCCACTATAGACTGTCCTCCCCCCTCTCCTTCTATAATAGGGTCTTACATATAGCCAAGGTTGGCATTAACCTCACCATCAGCTGTCTTAGTCTCCTAAGTGCTAGGATTGCAGGCGTGCTCCTTGCTACTAGCCAGATTTCTATTGTAGCCATTTATCATATGAACTTTCTTTCTTTTTTCTTTTTTTTCTGCTTTTTGTTTGTTTGTTTGTTTGTTTTTTGAGTGGGGGTGTTGGTAAGACAGGGTCTTACTATGCAACTCTGGCCAACCTGGAACTCACTCTGTATATCAGGCTGGCCTCAAACTCACAAAGATCTGCCTGCCTCTGCCTCCCAAGTGCTGGGATTACAGGCATGTGCCACCACTGCCTGACGACCATAGCATCAAAACACTTAGTTGAAGTGGCTGCGTACAGTTCAGAGATTTAGGTCACACCTCCTAATGGTGCCACTCCCTTTGGGGGCCATTTTCTTTCAAACCACCACACAGGGGATTCCCAGAGGGAGCTGGCTAGTGAGACTGGCCATGTCTGTGAGCTCTGGGTTTGGTTGAGAGATTCTTCCTCAGTGAATAAAGTAGAAGAGTTAACAAAGATGATCCCTGAGATGATCCCTCAGGTCTTCACATGCATCAACATGCACATGTGCCCACACATATTTTTTTTAAAAATCATCAAGCTGGAGAGATGGCTCAGAGGTGAAGAGCACTGGCTGCTCTTCCAGAGGTACTGAGTTCAATTCCCAGCATCCACATGGTGACTCACAACCATCTGTAATGAGATCTGATGCCCTCTTCTGGCCTGCAAGCACACATGCAGGCAGAACACTATTCATTTTACATATA